AAAAAAAAAAAAAAAAAGGACACTATTTATGCAGTAGTAAACGATCAGAAAAGTGGAGCAATGATTTTAGTAAAGTTCGATTGAAAATTTTTAAGACTATTTGCTATTATCAATGTAGTAGGCAAATTTGTTCAATGACAGATGTCAATTTAGACAGATTTTACTTGTTTAGCTGATTTTTTTACAGTGAAAAGATGCTGTATGGTTTAAATTTTTTTTTCTTTTCCTGAAAGGAAGATGATAAAATTTTGCATGAGACAATTGTGTCTAAGTCTAGTCTAGTCAAACAAGAGAAATTTTTTATTTTTAGCAGTAGTAGACTACATTTATTGTCACATTGCATTGTTAGTTAATCACGGACAGCAGTTCCAACTTTGTTCACTTTTTAAGGGCAAAGAATGAGCTTTTTCTTTTTTTTTTTTTGGTATTGGAGACAAGGGTCAGGAAAAGAGAAAAGAATGGTGGAGACTTATATAAAGAAATCTGTTGTCTTTCTTTTTCGTTTCTTCTTCTTCTTTTTTTTTTTCCCTTCTTTGTTCTTTTGTTGTATAAATTAAAGGGATCTTACACCAAACAGTTTATGCCGATTAATCAGTTTAGCAGTGTCTCTGTTGTTTGGTTATTAAATCACTACAAAATTGTTGCTTTGATTTTGAACTTCTTTCTTTTTCATACTTTTTAAAACAGTTTTTATCCGTTGGATGACCAAAGAATAAAAAAAAAATTTTTTTTTTTTGTGCATTGGCACTAATGTTTAGGGAAAAGGAGATGTAAGATGAGGAAAAAAAAAAAAGTCAATAAAGGAGTCTTATATGTTTTTATATGCCGTGTGGAATTAGTGAAAGATGGCAGCTATTGCTGCTGTTGTTGCTGCTGCTTTTGTTGCTGCAGCAGCAACAACAGCAGCAGCAGCAAAAAAAGAAAACTAGTTGAGGAAGAAATATTTTACCAGTGATTAAAGAAGTGCTTAGAAATTAAACAATCTCAACGTTGCTGTATTCTATTTTTTACATATTTCTGTTAGTAGAATACAGACAGGTGATAATTAAAATTTGAGTTTATTGAATTCTTTGATTGTTTGTGCTACAATCTAGCAATTTTTTTTTTTTTTTTTTTTTTTTTTTT